CACACGCGCCCGGGCCAGGACACTGCTCCCGGGTCCCCTAAGATGTTATGGCTGTGGAAACTGAGTGGAGGGCACTGGGGGGTCTCGGCCTCACAGCTGCATGTCAACCCACAGGTATTCAGGACCAAAGTGTCACCCGGTTCACCTCTGTGACTGTCCGGGGCAGGCAGGACTGTGGTAGAACAGCGTGGCCCCAGAGGCGGGTGGGGCTCTCTCGTGGTGGATATCCCAGGGCGTAGTGGCGACCGGCCCAGCGTGCACCTGCGCTGTGTGGTGGGCACTGGGGAGGTCCCCGCGGGCGGGCCGCTGCACTACGCAAAGTTGGGGTCCCCGCGAGTCAGCCCGACAAGGGCAGGAAGGTCATACTCTGGAGACGGTGCTGGTCACACCCACGGGACTTTGGTCTTCCCCCTTCTCTGTTCAGCACGGGAGCTGCGAGGAGGGTGGACGAGGGCAGGGCGGCCACATACGCCGGCCAGCAGCTGCTGAGTGACAGCCGGTCACCCTGCGTCGGGGGACGGCCTGTAAGCCACGTCCTGCTGCACGGGTGTCCACCTCAGACGGCGACGCACACGCCTCCTCCAGGACAGGCACGCAGATACTGGGTATACACCTCCCACGGGTCCCTCCCACGGGTCACACCCCCACGGGTCGCACTCCCACGGGTCCCCGCCCACAGGTCCCCGCCCACGGGTCCCTCCCACGGGTCACACCCCCACGGGTCCCCGTCCACGAGTCCCCTCCCACTGTCCCCTTATCTGTGTGCTGTGTATTCCCCGTAAGGTGGGCACCCCACAGGGTCTTGCCACAACCACAGTCCCAGCCCCGATCTGGGCCCATGTACGGCTCCTGGCCTGGGTACGGAGGGCCCAGGAAGTGAACCCAGGACCCTCCACGTGGATTCAGTTGTGTTCCCACTGCGAGTCACGCCTGGCCTGGAGGTAACGCTTACGTGGTTCCGACAGAGACATCTAAAATGAGTGGAAAACCATTAAACATCGTTCTGCTCTGTTCTGTTGCTGCTGGCAGGAAACACCGGCATCTGAGTGAAGCTGAACACAGGCCTGGAGGGCGGAGGTCCAGGGCGCCCTCTGGTGGCACTTCTGGCCACATGGCACATGGAGGGTCGGAGGGCGAGGGCTGCCATCTCTCCGGGTCTCCTCTGTCCTTAGAAACCCGCCGGCAGCCAGTCTTCCGGCTGCTCATCACTCCCGAAGGGCCCACGTCTGATCCCATGAAGTGCGGTCTCTTCACACCACAGCTCACCCCAGCGCGAGGACCTCCGGCTCCTCACTGGTGGGACATCACGTTCCACTAAGGCGAAGGTCTGACGGTGACCGTGTTCGCAAGTCACAGGTCCCTCACTCGCCAGGGTCCCGACATGCTCGAGAACCGCCAAGGCTGCAGGATGGGGCAGGTCCCAGGGTCTGGTCTGAGCCCTATGTCCTCACCGCAGACGCAGAGCCCTGCCCTCTCCCGGGTTATAGAGGGTCCCCGCAGACGCAGAGCCCTGCCCTCTCCCGGGTTATAGAAGGTCCCCGCAGACGCAGAGCCCTGCCCTCTCCCGGGTTATAGAAGGTCCCCGCAGACTCAGAGCCCTGCCCTCTCCCGGGTTATAGGGGGTCCCCGCAGACGCAGAGCCCTGCCCTCTCCCGGGTTACAGTTCCCAGGCTTGGTCGCAGTGACTAACAGGGACTGCGAGATTCAGAGCCCCGCTTAGGCGTGGGTGGCTGCAAGGACAGGCTCTGGGAGGCTGTTTCTGGGTCTCCTGTATGTCGTGTGCCGTTGTCCCAGAGGGGGCTAGTTTGGCCTCCCTCACACACTGGCCCCCTTTTAAATGTTTTTACTTGCCACAGGGCACGTGCGTTTACTGGGGAGAGACAGACGGGGTGCGTGTGTGTGTGTGTGTGTGTGTGTGTAAACGCCCAGGCGTGATTCCCAAGCTGCAGGGTCCAGGCCTTGACCTGCAGTCGTCTCTGTGGGATCCAGCTCCTGCCCCTCTAGCTGGCCTGTGGCCCTCTTTTATTTCTGACCCTGACCCTTTGTCTAACTGTAGTCCTCTGTGAGTCTTCTTTCACCACCCTCATTAAAAAAACTTTTTAAAAGTTTGTTTATTGTTTCTGAGAGGAAGAAAAAGAGACAGGCCACGGGCCCCCACTCCAGCCTAGCCCAGTGGAGACAGTATTTGGGCGTGGTGGGCTGGGCCCTCCCCACCAACAAGCGATCTAGGCACAAACACGGCCCCGTCTTTCCCCACCAGCTGAAAAGGGGCAGCCCGGACCTCACAGCCTCACCCCTGCCCACAGCTGAGGTGGCCTCACTTTCCCGAGGTGAGTCTAGTCCACCAGGGGCCTGGTCTCTTCCTGAAGGAGGTCTGACCGACCGAAGTGGGCCTAGGTCGTGGGAGCAGGCTTTGTCCAGCTGGACATGGGGATGCGTGGTGGGCCTGGGTGGCATGAGAGGCACCGGGGCCTACTCGGGGCCCGTGGGGATGCGTGGTGGGCCTGGGTGGCATGAGAGGCACCGGGGCCTACTCGGGGCCTGCTTCCTCTCTGACGCAGTGCAGTTCCCTGCCTTGCCCGTTTTTGAAAGCAGTCACTGGCCCCGGCCCGCATGGCAGCGGCAGCCCCACTCCTCGTTCAGAAGAAAAAAAAACAGCCCACTCTCTGCTTCAGAAGCCTCCAGCCAGTGACCGAGACCCTTCCCCAGGCTCTTCCGTCAGAGCCAGATCAAATGCGGGCAGGGCATGGGTACAGACTTCCCACGAGGGTGAGGGAAAAGCTTCCCCTAGGGAGACAGAACAAAGGTACCTCTACTGTGCCACCGTGCACAGAATTGTCAAACAGGAGTTACCTCCCGGAAGCAGGCGTACAACGGTTGACCTAATCTCTGAACACAACTGGTGAAACCAAACCAAACCACCGAAACCAACAATCCCCAGGTCCTGAGTTAACCTAAACACCGACTCTGGTTCTGGAGTACCACTGCACCCCGAACAGGTTAGAGAAATTCCCTGTGCCTCGCTGGGTGGGAGTCGGCCGGCACACGCCCACCTCGGCAGCTGTGCAGCCCCACGGCCACTCGTCCGCCCGGTCACGCATGGGTTTCAGCTTGTTGCCCCAGCACGGGCACTCACCGTACAGACAGGGAGGGGGAAGAGAAACCACTGCCGGGGGAGGGCCAGGCCGCAATCTCTTCTCCTCCATCCTCCTCTCAGGGTCCTGGGCACCCATGTACACACGCTTGGCATGGTTCAAGCCATGGGGTCTGGGACTTGAACCATGGGCAGCCCTGTGGGAGTCTAGTGCCTCAACCACAGCACCCCCTGCTGGTCTCCCAATTATTTATGCACTTGATTTTTATTTTGCGAGAGAGGAGGGGACAGGAGAGGCAAAGACGTAACAGGGTCCGGGGCATCAGGACCCTCCTGCCCAATCCCATCTGGTGAGGGTCACAGGTGCACAGCCGCGCCGGCATACTCACTGGACCCGGGGAGCCCGGCTCCCCACAGGTCGGCTCCAGCCTCCCGAGCAGTGAGCATGCGCTAGGGCTGGGTCTACAGCTCATTTTTAAAAAGCCATTTGCACCATTAGGTTCTCCAAAACCATCGTGCATTTAAAAATGAACAAAGGCTGCACAAGCTGATTTGGACATGCAATGGCTATCAAATAAGGATGTTGACTGCAATATTCCTAAATCATACTTTCAAAAGCCCCACGAGGGGGCCAGCAGATGGCGTGATGGCTATGTCACTGGACTCCCGTGTAGTCGACCGTGGTTTGAGTCCCAGACCTGGTGGCTTAAACTCACATTGGTTGTGCATGTGTGTGTGTCCAAGATCCCGAGAGGAGAAGAGAAGGGATTGCGGCGTGGCCATCCCCCCGGGAGTGTTTTCTCACTTTCTGTCTCTGTCTCTCTGGTGAGCACATGCACCCTATAACAAAAATCTCAACAAAATAAATAAATAAAAGCCCCATGAGATCTACTTTGAAAAGTTACACTATGGCAAAGTTTTATGTAAGGTTAAAAATCCTATAATTTCTGACATGGTTTATTTAAACCCTTCAGCTTCTGAAGTACATAAAACCACTGGCTAACTGGAATTCTCGTTTCCTTCCTTCTGGGAGGCTCACTGATTTAAACAGCCAAGACGAGGTGGGGCCAGCAGGTGGCGCAGTGGCAGGGGCGCCTGGGCCCACAGGGAAGGCTGTGGTCTGACCTGCGGCAAGCTTTGCTCACTCTCCCTCCCTCTCTCTGGTCAAACTGAAAAAGGATAATAATAAATGAAGTTAAACAGATGAATCTTAAATAAAAAATGTTGTGGTCACCAGTTAAAAACGTTTAACCAAAACAGAAGACACGGCAAAACATTTCAAGGTAAAAAACTGGGTATCATTACTTGAAGTGCTTTTTAAATTCTTTGTAGGTTTTTGCCATAAGGTGCATGTGCTCGCCAGAGAGACGGATAGAGAAGGTGAGAAATCTGCCTCCTGGAGGGACAGCCATGCCGCAGTCCGTTCTCCAGTCCCCTCTTGGGATTTTGAGCATGTGGGGCGTGCGCACACACACACGCACCCACCGTGATTTTTCAAGCCACTAGGTCCGGGACTTAACTGCAGTAGACCCTGTGGGAATCCCAAGTCTTAACCACCACGCCACTGGCTGTCCCTATTAAAACTTTCTTAAAGCGTTATATTAAAATATTATTTGATTTAGTGGAAAGAAAGAAC